TTTCATGCTAATTGTTCTAATGAACTTTCATCCCTGGTACTTTGACAACCTAAATTTAAGTGTACTACTAGATTGGCAACTATGTCTTGTTTTTTTTTACTGTTAAAATAGCTGTGACCATAAGTTCTATTCTAATATTTTCTTCTCCCACACTTCTCGCCTGTGGAATGCTATTTTGGTTTCTTGCTTCATTGCCATTTCAGATATTCAAAAATTAAAATGCAACATCAATTACCATCTTCTGTCTTCCTGAATCTTTTATTGTCTTCACTAATTTTTCTCATTTCCTTTCACTTGTCTTAGTGGTGTCATAACATTGGTTGGGGTAAAACAATTTAAAAAAAAGATAGATAGGTAGATAAATGAAGAAAAGTTCAAAAGACCTTTCTTTTGACTGACTTTTCATGCATGAATTGTATGAATCTATTGAATTCATTAAAAAGTATCATATTTACATACACTACATAAAAAAACACTGATCATTTATAACAAACAAATTTCAAACATATTCTATGCTAAAAAATGTACATGACAACATTTAAGCATTAAGCATTATAACATGATAATTATTATTATATGTATAGATGTATATCGATATATATATATATATATATATATATAAAAGTGAACATTAAGTCAACACTGAGAGGCAACAGGCTTTTTTCATGCTGGATGCAATCATCAGGCCACCTGACAATTGTGTCCAGCATGAAACATCCTGTGGCCTCTCAGTGTTGACTTCAATGTTCACTTTTATATTTATATTTACATACGCTCTATCTCTGATATTGAGCACTTTATCCTATAAATATAGCACACCTTAAAACTATATTTCTTCATATATATATATACAAAAAAAAATTTAACAAACCAATTAGAAAATAAATTAATGACAAAGAGATGGTCAAAATTTATTTAATACCACCCTAAAATTCCTCTCTGATTAGCCAAATCTATAGCAAAACTTTTAAAGTCCCTTCTTGAAACTGTTACCCCCTCATATATTAAAAATTCCAGTGACCATCTCAACAGTTTAAAAGACAAATAAGGAAGATGATGCCATGGCAAGTTCTTATACACTGATGTACCAGTTAACAAATGCTTAAATCTTACAAACAAACATTTGATATAATAAAAAAATTAACTTCCCCTAATGATAGATAAAATTATTATGATTGCAATGTTATTTCAGTATTAATAATAATTTTTAAAGACAGAAATCTGGGACGCCCATAAGATCACCTCTTAGTGGCATATTAGCACACATATACACAATATAAAAAATGAATTATTTAATTGAAATGTAATTTCAATTAAATGCAAGTTATCACTGTTTTTTTTTTAAATAGAGTGTTTAATATCCTACAGATAGAGCTATATATAGTGTAAATGTTATATTTTTCAGATCTTATTAAAAACATGACATGTATACGTGTAACTAAATGTTTCACAGTGCTAGAACTGATCAGTTCTACCATCATGAAAATTTTATTTGCACATATGCTTATCATGTTTTTAATAAGATCCAAATAATGCAACATTTATATACAATGGTTATTAATCCTGAATTAGCACTAGGAGGTAGTGGGATTTGGAAGTTTTTGGAATTATTAAATATTTAGGGTTAGGTTTTTCTTTCTCAATCCTTTTTATTACAACTTTCTGGGTAAAATAATGTCTGGCCTATGAAAGTAAATATGTCAAAATAGAAACAAAGACATTGAAACACCAGTTCTTGTACAACCACTGAAGTTAAGCAATGTCAAGCCTGGTCAGTACCTAGATAGGTGACTGCTTGAGAATAGCAAATGCTGTAAGCTTAGATTTGTGAGAGGGGGTGGATAATAGCTCAGAATTGGAAATTGGAGAGCCAAGTTCTAATTCCATTTGGATTTGTTATATTCACTTACATGCAAATAACCTTGGAAAAGGTATGAACCCACTTCTTCTTAGCTATGGGTTAATTAGTATAACTTTTATCAGGAACTCGTTATTATCTCAAAAAAATTTGGCTTTGATTCATTCATTAATTTTCCACAGCTTATCAACCATTTGCAGGTTATCTAAAGCCAGAAAATATTTTTAGATTGTAAAAATTTTGGGGGAGATAATAATGATTTAGTGATACAAGTCTTACAAATTAACCCATAGCTAGGGGAGAAGAGATGGATTCATACTTTACCCAAGGGTATTTGCACATAAAGTAATATAATGAACCTATCAGGAACTGGAACTCGTCTCACCAATTAATAATTCCAAGCTAGTATCCATTACACCACCTGCACATCCAAGCTTACAGGACCTGGTATTCCTAAGTGGTCACCCATCTAGATACTGACCATGTTTGACATTGCTTAATTTCAGTGATTGTAGAGGAACCAGCATTTCAATGTGATGTTGCTGTAAGCCATTTCTAGATTTAAATAACTGGCAAAAGGTTGGTAAGCCATAAAAACCAAATCAATCAATCAATGAGAGCTGAATCTAATTTCCATTCCTACTTCATAGTATCCTACTTGAACTGTTGAATAGTATTCAACTAAGAAAGCAGTGATAAAAGGCAACTTTAAGAAAGAGAAAATGACAGCCAAAAATTAATAATGAACAAAAATCATCTCAGAATATAAATAATTTAAGAGAAAATACCTCTTTATTTAACACTATTTTAACAGTTGATGAATATTCAGCTGAAACAAGTGACAGGATGCAATAACAAGAAGAAAAGGTTAGCCAAAATTTCATAAGGAAAATACTTAATCATATATTTCAAATAATTTACTAAATATTTAAAATAAAATTACATCTTGTGACTATCTACGAACCTATCTTCTCTTTTTTTTTTTTTTTTTTAAAAATGCAATCTACTCTTCAGGGCATAAGCAATCATGGCTCTCTATTCCATTTTTCTTCATTATCTGTGAACTGCAATGCTTTCTTGGGAAAGATAACGGAGTAGTTTCCTTCTCTAAGGTTTTGAAATTCGGAATTTGTTCTCCTAGACTAGTTGCAACCCTGTCTAGAGAATCCAGCCTATCCAGCTATTTAACACATAGCTGGGGAAAAGAGATGGATCCATGCCTTTCCCAAGGGCATTAGTACAAAAAGTCAGAATTTGAACATAGTCCACCAATTCTGCATTCTGCTCCAGTAACTATTATGCTACCTGCTCGTTCCAAAAAATCTAAAACTTATAATTGACTAATTTTGATTTAAATAGTTTATGCCTACTATGTGGTTAAGTAAAATTTTCCAGGCTCTGAAATTATTTGATTTTCAGACTTCAAAAGCAATGAATTGAACAATATCACCTTGTGGTGATGGTTAACAAGTTAGCCTGCTTAAATATTACTACTTAGTAGTGTAAATTCAATCTTCAATGGGTGCTAAAATAAGCTAAGCTTAGTAGATATTTTCATTAATGCACTGTGAGCTTTTTTGGCCCAAAAGCAGAAACTGTCCAAAATCCAGTTCCAGGAGGGTCATGGACACATAATGGATGAAGTTTAGGGTTAATCCTTGGTGTCTGAGGGCTTACAACCAAATCTTGTCAAAAAACCAGTTTCCATACAATCAACAAAGTTAAGCAACATTGAACCTGGTCAGTACCTAAATGGGTGACCACTTGGGAATACCAGGTGCTGTAAGCTTCGATGTGCAGGTTGTGTAATGGATAATGGCTCAGAATTGTTAATTGGAGAGGGGGGGGCGAGAAAGCGTAATTGCGCCCCTTATTTATAGTTAATCTTTAAATAAAGGACAATTAATTTTAACATTGAGTTAACACTTTCTTTTCTGAATAAATATTGACTGAACACATCATGTAAATTCGAAACATCTAAAGATCTGTGGGAACATTACTTTAAAAAATAAATAGATAATATATTTTCTATCAAAATAGGTTTTATTTTCAACTCAACCTCAGCATGATTGACTGTCAAAAACAAAATAGGAAAGACATTAAGCAACTCCAAGATGAAGAGTTTATCACTGTTCCAAGATTTGAATTTTTAGACACCGTTTTATAAAGCCCTTTTTTGTTTAATTTTAAAATAATGATTCTTTAATAAACTCAATGCAAGTCTGCATTACTGGTGATTAAACTAGGATAGTCCTCAACAGAAAAAGAGGAAAACTTCAAGAACCATCATTTTATTTAATTGGATTGAATGATTTTGTTTTTTTACAAGTTAATTAAAAGCATAAAATAATTTTAGATTTTTAATTTTTTTTTGATTTATTGATACAAGTCGTACTAATTAACCCAAAGCTGGGGGGGGGAGAAGAGATGGTTTCATATCTTTCTCAAGGGCATTTGCATGTGAGGGAACATAATGAACCACACTGGATCTGGAACGCAGTTCTCCAATTTTCAATTCTGAGTCATTATCCATTACACCACCTGCACATCCAAGCTTACAGCACCTGGTATTCCCAAGTAGTCATCCACCCATTTAGGAACTGACTAGGCTTAACTTTGCTTAACTTCAATGATCATATGAGAACTGGTGATTCAATGAGATTTGGCCATATGCCTATTTAATTAGAAATCAGTAAGAAAGGTATTGTCAGTTGTCAGGAATTAATGCAAGTGTTTCCTAAAGAGTATAGCTGTTTTACATATAATCCATCTAAATACATGACTAATGGTTTTACTATAGAAATGAATTGGAAATCAGTAAGAAAGGTATTGTCAGTTGTCAGGAATTAATGCAAGTGTTTCCTAAAGAGTATAGC